GTTCAAGCGGTTGCATCACAGTTGCCCACGCGGGTGCTATACGAATGGAGAGGATGGAGCGATGACACGACTGGGACGGGGAAACTTCATTTCGACGATGACTCTCTATGCGGCCATGTTGGTCGCATCGGGTAAACGATCCGGGTACCCTTACATGGTGTGCTCTCCGGCGAAGCGCCCGCACGGTTGCATTGTCATGTCGTATGATTCAGTTCTGCACCGAAAGCGGCGCCCCTCCTGTGTGCGGCATTTCGACCCATGTGTAACGTTACCTCGGCCATGCGTTCCCGCAGAGGAGTCCTTTCCATGGAGGCTGTCTCGTCAAAGCTCTGCACATAATACCCCCGCCACGCTGCCGCACGCGACCGACTTTGCTCGAAGTTGGCGATCAACGGAATGGGGCTGCGATGGCACGTGGGACATGCCAAACGCCTTGTCGGTTGAATCGTCGTCTCTGCATGGGAATTAATGATTGGTTGAAATTCTTGACGAATAGCCAATCGAATGGTCTCACGTGTGCTTGGGCAAGGTAGGGTCGCCGTATCGGGGCAAGGTTCACGCCCCAGGGCAAGCAGGACTACATGAGGTCTCCCCCCGTGCGATTCCCTTCGTGGAAGCGAGAGGGGTCGGCGCCAGCAAGTCCTGTTGATGCCATGGAGCCCTTCCGAGTGATCTGCGCATCATGTGCTTGGTTTCACTAACATGTAGTGGCGGATGTGTACCCCCGTTACTTTGACTGAAAACGATCGCCGTGGCATGCGGGGTCGGCTGGGAGATGACCGCGCCGGCGACGATACCGGCACGATGGACGTGTTCATGAGGACCATGGGCGCTACTTGCCACGACGGTCGACGCTGCCGATCGCCATGAATATCTTCTCGCCTGGCCGTGGATGAGATGCACCAGAGAGTGGACTGGATTAAGGAATTCCAGATTAGACATGTCGAGTTTTCCAGCTGTGGAAGATTAGCTGTAGTAGCAGCCACCTCGGCACCGACCACTTGCCATTCGACACACTTGCACCTCATGAAGGTGCTTGCCGCCGTCTTCGCCGCCGCGCATGTAGTCGCTGCACACACAGACGCCGAGATGGATGCGCAAGTGAAGAAGATGGTCGATGCAATGGTACATAGTGTCGCGCGCCCCCTTGGCTCATCGCGTGGTCTTGACGTAGACGGACGACCAACTCCTCGCCCAAATGAACCAGATCGACATCGGGTCCTTCCTCGTCGATACTCCAGGCGATGTCAAGGTGATCAATGCGTCCCAGGTCCAGGAATACGCCGACTTGGGCGTCGGGTCCTACTTGAACGCGCCATTCCTCCGACCCAAGGACAATCGTGTGAACTGGAACACGACGGAATACCGCGACACGATCTCCAAGATCCAAGCCATGCACACGAAGAGCGGATTGAAGATCCCCATGCTGTACGGCCTCGACTCGGTGCACGGCGCCAACTACGTCCAGCGCGCTGTCATTTTCCCTCACTCCATCAACACGGGCGCTACATTCAACGCGACGATCGCGCGGATGGGCGGTCTGTACACGGGCCGCGACACCAAGGCCGCAGGTATTCCGTGGGTATTTGGGCCCATGATGGAACCGGCCAGGCACAAGCACTGGTCGCGCATCTACGAAAGCTTCAACGAAGACCCGATGGTCGTGTCCGTCCTCTCGTCCGCATTCATCCAAGGCATGCAAAGCCAGAAAGTTGGAGCGTGCGTAAAACACTTGATAGCGTACTCGAACCCGATCGACGGCAACGATCGCAGCAACGTGAATGCGTCATCGTACGAGCTGCTCAACTATTACGTGCCGCCGTTCAAAGCCGCCGTCGAAGTCGGAGTGCTCAGCGTCATGGGGTCGTACATCGCTCTCAACGGGATTCCCGTCGCCGCGAATGAACTCACGTCCAAGGATCTGCTGCGCAACGACCTCGGGTTCAAAGGCATGCTCGTCTCCGACTATGGCGAGATGTATCTCTTGCGCCGCGACCACAAAATCGTGACGACCGACCTGGATGCGGTCGACCTCAGCTTGAACAAGACGTCGTACGACATGAGCATGACGCCATGGGACACGAGCTTTATCAAGTGGGGCAAGCAACTGCTCGCCCAGAAGCGCCTCACGACCGACCGCCTGAAGGAGTCGGTCACGCGCATTCTCAAACTAAAGCTTCAGCTCGATCTGTGGAACGATCCGGTACCTGGTGCCGACGTCGCGGCGTTGGTTGGGGACGCCGCGTCGAGGGCAGCGGCGCTGGCCGCCGCCCAGGAGTCGATTGTGCTGTTGAAGAATCAAGACAACATTCTCCCGTTAGCGGCGGACGCGCCGAACAAGCTGTTTTTGACCGGGCCATCGATGGACGACGTCGGGTACCTCTGCGGCGGCTGGTCGCTGTATTGGCAAGGCACGTCGGGCAATGACATGTTTCCGAATGGCATTTCCATTCGGAAAGCGGTGGAGAGCGCCGTGGGCGGCAACGGGTCGACTATTCCGTTTGTCAGCGGCGTCGAGATGGAAAGCGGTAACGTGACGAGCCCTGAAAACTTTGCCAAGGCCAAGGCGTATGCCACCGCCGCCGCGTACACCATCGTAGCGCTGGGCGAACGCACGTATGCAGAAGATGGCGGAAACAAGGACCCGCAGGCGCTGCCGGCTGGATTTACCACGTATGTCGAGGCATTGGCGGCGACCGGGACCAAGATAATCTTGGTGTTGACGGAGGGCCGCCCGCGGCTGCTGGGCAAGCTGCCCAAACTCGCGTCCGCCGTGCTGTGGGCCGGTCTGCCCTGTGAATTGGGTGGTCAAGCCATTGCGGACGTGCTGTTTGGCAAGGTCAACCCGAGCGGCAAGATGCCGTACACGTACCCTCAAACAGACTCGTTCGTGAACCTGGCGTCGCCATACTACATGCGAAATGGAACCCACTGCATCAGCAACGTGTACAACAATGTGTCCGAGTGCCCGACCGAATACTACTACGGCGAAGGGCTGAGCTACACGACGTTTGAGTACTCTGGGATGGCTCTCAGTGACAAGAGCATGACGTATGCAGCTGGCAAGGCGAACGCACTGACGGTGTCGGTCTCGGTGAAGAACAGTGGCGCCGTGGCCGGCCAGGAGACGGTGCTGCTGTTCATGACGCCGCCACAGACGCGCCCGACGGCCGAGACGAAGCTGCTCAAGAAATATAAAAAGATCTGGCTTGCCCCAGGCGAGTCCCTCGTCGTCAAATTTGAACTGCGGCCAGAAGATTGGGGCTATTACTCGAACGAAATTGGCGCGGGGCTGGCCAAGTCGGTCCCGAGCGGCACGTATACCGTTTTTTTCAAAGGTAACACCGACTGTGTCTCGACTCCGACCAACTCGCTCTGCCAACCATTCGAGTGGATCATGACGGGGTCGGGCGTCCTACCGAAGGAAGAGCTGAGCCGCGCCAAGAGCGCCTCCACCGGCCTTGCGCTCTCGATGCTTGCCGTTTTCGTCGCATGTTGCTTGTGGTAATCGTATCCATCGCAAGGTCATTTAATTTCGAAACACGGGAACTCGTATCACATGCGCGGCGACATGCATGCGCACATGCACCTTCGTCTGGAGGAAGAGTGATACAGCGGCGAGACAGCTACCGTCGTCGAAAGCCCAGAATGGGCTGGAACGGTGTAGTTGACGGACCAATACTCGTCCACCGAGTTTTGAAGTGTATTCGCAAGCATCGTGAGTCGCTCTTGAAGAAGCACGTGCATGCCTTGCCCACTGCACAGGTAGTCGATCGCATGTCAGCCGAGCATATGTATCATTGTCCACGTAAAAAAACAAAGTCATTCATGCACTCTTATGCAGACTGCCACGATGCACATCTATAGCCACCGACCGCCTGGCGCAAGGATGTGGCCTGTCGAGTAGGGTTGCTGGCGAGGTGCGTGCGGTGATGCTGTGAGGCGGACCACTCGAAGGCCAAGCAGATTGGGCTTCCCTTAGATCTCGTGCAGTCTGTCGCTGGGAGGAATGCGATCAAATATCCTGGATGGCTTCGCCTAGGTAAACCCTTCCCGGCCTTTGCCCGCATAGCTGCTCCAGTCATCGACGCCCGCGTCGGGTGCGGTAGATCATGCTGTGCGACATCTTTTGGATGAGCTTGACGAGTTTCGCCTCGGCGAGTTCGCAACTCGATGGCGGCGATAGCAATAGCATCATGACTTCGTCGCACCCCCACAGGTGTGGAGCATCACCGAACGGCGAAGGCTGGTGCTACCGGCCTGACTTAGTAGTGATGCGGCCACATATGCGTTCCTGCCTTCGGAAGCAGTGCAGCTCACTCAACCTTGCTTCAACCTGCCATTCCTGCAGGCAGCTCGTCGAATTCATCTCGATACTCGTGGAGCTTTGCGTTGGATGGTGCCGCATCAAAAGGTTGTAATACGAGGTCCCCGAACGGTAGTCTTCGCAAACGTCAGCCCATGGTTTTACGTCACCCACGAGCAAGTTCTGCAATGGCGGGGCCTCCAAACTCGCCAGGCAGCCCTGCCCACAGAAGCGCATCCGCCAACTCGCTCCACGTTCGCGACCGTTAGCCCGCCAGCTCCAAGAGCAATTTGGTCCTAGTCGTCGACAGCTCCTTGACGTATTGTACAGCCCACTCGGGAACGGCCGCGCTACAGGGCATCCTACAGATTCCGCAAGCGTTTGCTCCTATCGCTCGAAAACTGTGGGTGTGCTTGCCGAAGCGTCTTGGCCACCGAGGCCATAGTCCGTCTCCCATGAACGCGGACGCCCCGGTCACGATTTCATGACTAGAATATGCTAGGTGCTTCCGGAATGGTCTCCCCATACGGGAAGACCTCCTATCCACTGACCAGTCCTAACCATTCCTACGTCCGTGCACTGCCAACCAATGTCGTCAATGGCCGCTAGCATCGCCAACAAAGTGTCGGATTCGAATCAAAGCACGCGGTTTTCAGGACAATCGACTCCTGTGCATTCCATAGCGCTGCAGCTTGGCCAGCCAAGTCTCCGACCCTCTCGACCATGTCAGCCCCAGGTACAGAGTTGTCGTCGAGATCCATAACGATTGAGTTTATGCGCTGAACAGCCTGCCGCAAGCGGTTCGCGGTGACCTAGCTAAGGTCTTCGAATGACGTGGCATGTCCTATGTTGATTTGGTCAACGTGCTGTCGACAGTTTCTGTTTTGGCGGCGTTCCAAGTGAGGTTTGCTTCAACCGAGTCCGAGACGAGGACGCCGTTGAAGCGCCCCATGGCCATGCTGCCGCTGTTGGCAGCAGAGTGGCTGGGATTTTCTGCTGTCGGAGACACTTCAACTGTGTGCAATGCTCTCTGAAGTACGATTCCACTACACCTCTTTCGCACTTTGAAGAGTCTCTTCCTGCCGCCATTCAATTCGGTTTTCGGCGGGCGATGGCACTTTTTCAATTCAATCGACGATGGGAGATCAATTGGTGCTTCGCGGAACGCTCGCCGGCCACGGCAAGAACTGGGTGACGGCCATCGCCACCTCGCGTGAAAACCCCAACTTGGTGGTCACGGCCTCGCGCGACAAGTCCGTCCTCGTCTGGCAACTTACCCACGACGCCGACCCGGACAACTACGGGTACGCTCGCCGCCGCTTGACGGGCCACTCCCACTTCGTCCAAGACGTCGTGATCTCGTCGGACGGTCAATTCGCCCTCTCCGGTTCGTGGGACGGCACCCTCCGCTTGTGGGACCTGAACACGGGTATCACGACCCGTCGTTTCGTCGGACACTCGAAGGATGTGTTGTCGGTCGCTTTCTCGGCGGACAACCGTCAAATCGTGTCTGGTTCGCGCGATCGCTCCATCAAGTTGTGGAATACCCTCGGCGAATGCAAGTACACCATCACCGAAGAAGGCCACACTGAATGGGTGTCGTCCGTGCGCTTCTCCCCCTCGTCGGCCAACCCGTTGATCGTGTCTGCCGGCTGGGACCGCGTTGTCAAGGTGTGGAACTTGACCAACTGCAAGCTCCGCACCAACTTGTTCGGCCATTCTGGCTACTTGAACACCGTGACCGTCTCCCCTGACGGTTCGTTGTGCGCTTCGGGTGGCAAGGACGGTGTTGCCATGTTGTGGGACTTGAACGAAGGCAAGCGCCTCTACGCGCTCGAAGCCAACGACATCATCCACGCGTTGGTCTTCTCCCCCAACCGCTACTGGTTGGTCGCCGCCACGTCGTCCGCGATCAAGATCTGGGACTTGGAATCCAAGGTCGTCGTCGACGAAATCGTCCCTACCTTTGAACACGTTGGCAAGAAGTCGCAACCTCCCCATGCCGTGTCGCTTGCCTGGTCCGCCGATGGGCAATCGCTTTTCGCTGGTTACACCGACGGTATCGTGCGTGTGTACGCCGTCGGTTCGAACTAAATGTCGACGCCACGTTGACCTGGTTGAATTGAAAGTACCACTTAACAGCTATAACATGGCGAGTGTGCTGTTACGTCGTTCCCTCGGTCTCTTCTTTGGGCCCATCCGAACCCCTCATTCCAATGCAAGATCCGCGCCGTCCGGCCGGCAATTCGCTCCATGTTGCTTGGTCAAGTCCAAGAACTGGGCATGACGGCATTTGATTTGCCAAAATTAATGGACTTACGCGATTTGATTGGTGAAGGCTCTGGGTTTTCGAAGAAGAATGTGGATTGTGTAGGGGCAGAGAGACGACGAATTGTGGTGCGGGCGGCGGTCGAGGAAGGCGACTGCGTCCTATACGTGCTTCACGGAGAGAAACGAAGCGGTCGATACGAAGTGGCAGGTACCCATGGAACACGATGCCTTGGTTGTGCAACATTAGGCAAAGGCGGGAAGTGGTTCGCAGCGAAGTTCTTACTACCTTACGAGAACACGCGGAGCACAGCACAAGCTCGCGCAAGTCTGCAGTGAAGTCGTTTAGAAGGATGGAACGGCATCATATGCATGATTAGAGAAATGTTTCCGATGGAGACACTGGATGGAACTCGCTATCGAACATGCAGGGATCTTTGTTTCTTGAATGGATGATGCGTTGCGGACGACAAGGTGGCGAGGGAAGTGCAGCAGCATGCAGACGCTCCCCGAGCCTCTTCCACGAGCTGGACCCTTGGCGCTCTTTCGTACCTGTTCCTGCCTAATCTGAGCACAACGTAATAGTCCCTGCTCAAACAGAAAAGATAGGTGACTGTGGGTCGATAGGTTGAGGGAAGGGTCTCAGGGTGGTTCCCGTGTTTATTCAAGAGTCGGTTTATATTGCTACACGCAAGCAGCGGGTTAGAATACATACACGGCGTCTCGGCCAACGCGCCGCGAACCACGCACTGCTGATGCCAACGCACACCTTTCGCAAGAACGGCGCATGGAGTAGTACGGACACACGAGTCTACTTGATCTTCTTCTTGATGCGCAATTGGTTCGAGTGACCGCACTTCTTCTTGCGGCAGTTGGTGGCGCGAGGGGGAAGGCGCGCGTAGCACACGCGGCAGATTTGCTTTTCGCAGTTCGTCTTCTTGGCCAAAGCCGCAAGGGTAGGTTCAATAGCCATGGTCTTTACTACACAAACAAGCCACACATCATCATCTACCTCGTCTCATCCTGTGCTCCTGCTCTCCATCGCGCAGACGCCAACTCGGCGCGGCATCGTACCTGTTGGTCAGTAGATTTCCCTCTGACACCAACCAGACACGAATGGACCCACAAGCCAACCAAATCCACCCACTGGTTTCCCTCTGTCAAATGAACACCAAACCTGAGACAAAGTGAACGATTTTGATTGGCCAAAATTCCGATTATTTTTGGATTGGCCTCCGATTATGACGATTTATGCCAATTTCGGAGGAGAATTCCCATATTTCAACGAGTTCATCGGCCAAAGAGGGCGACTGGCCTTGCATCGAACACCACTCGACGACGTCGTCTCTTTGATGACAAGTGGATGGCGGCGGTATCGCATTCTTGGTCATGAGCCTGTTGAATGCGCCATATCAAGTTACCACGAGGCCCACTTGAAAAGAACGGTTGGGGAGTGATGTAGACCTAGTGAAAGAGCAATATCAAACACTGGCATGACACACCACGTTTGGGGATGAAAACAAAGGGTGCATTCATTTCCTGAGCTGTGCAATCCAGTCTCTCTTGAACAATCGTCCCTTGCCGAACGACACTCGAAACCTCCGAAGTTTCGCCAATGCGGAGAAACGTGGAAGTATTTTGAAATAGGAGAATTGTTTCGAAGTTTGTCGAATTTGGCCTGTTTTGGCAAATCCTTCTTCTATTTTCTATGATATATTTCATACAGTTGCCAATATATTTGATTATACGATGGACGATCGTCTTCTCGACATCCAAATTGAATATGGCGGCGTCCAAGCTCGGCGGCGGCAGCGGCGGAGGTTTGTCCTTCGCCTACTTTATCAACCGCAGCCAGGTCATCAAGCAATACCGCCTCTTCTTGCGCGAAATCCGTCCTTTGGCGAAAGAGACGAGGCAGGAGGTTCAACAGACGATCCGCGCCAAGTTCGAAGCCACTCGACATGAATCGAACCCGACGGAAGTGAAGAGACACCTCGCCTACGGCCATGCACAGGTACAGCATGTTCGAGAGCTTGTGAACTCCGTCAGCGCAACTCCAACAAAGCCGCGGCCAGACGTGTCGTTTCAAGAAACGTGGACTGACGCTCCTCCAGTCTCTGACGACGTGAACGAATCGCAAGAAGACATCAAGGGCCGCGTCGGGAAGGGGTGGCCGTGGTCGCGATGAAAGACGAGATGGCGTGTATGCATCGTATAGTGCTAGTATTCCGACGAAATCACGCCTAAATAATTGTCCTTGATCGTCCCAATAGCTTGAATCTCGGTGACGTCAATGGACACCCCCATGATCTTCAAGCGAACGCCCACGCCTTTGCGGATCTCCACTTCTCGATCTTGACTAATCCACGCGCTCTGCTCGTGATCGTACCCTTCGTTTAAGTCGGTCGACATGGCATGTCGACTAACAAACACCTGTAGTGGCCCGACTTCGGCAAAGAATCCGAGCTGGTTTACGACGGTGACGACCGCATCAAGTACTTCGTTCTTGAATGGACGGAACAGAATCGCTCGGTACGCAATGTTAAAGCACACGAACCCCGAATTGTCTTGGATGACCCCTTGGCCAATGTCTTCGTCGCGCACCTCCGTGACGGCGATGACGTAACCGAACTTTCCGAGCGACGTCCCTTCAACCTCTTCGATCAAGCGAAGGCGAATGATGTCGTGCAGCTTCGGGCCAAAGTGCATCGGATGCAGGAGCAGCTCCCGCTTCAGTTGTTTGAGGAAGAACATGTCAAACCACACAATGCGGGAAACCTTCCGAGCGCGGATTGGCTGAGTCGAATTTTTATTATAATTTGGCTCACGGAAGCTGGAAATGAAGTTTTGTTTAGAAATTATAGCGTTTCAACAAAAAAGTACGGTCCTGTCATCCTAAGAAACCTCGAAACCTCGTGATGGCAGCTTGGACCCCAAGGGCCAACGCCACCGAGAGCGACTTTTGATCCGCCATAGTGGGGCTGTACCTTGTTGGTCCCAGTACCAGCGCAGTTTACTTGCGTTCCTTCACATCCTATGGAACGATGCTGTAGTTGTCCATGGTGAAAGGCCGCTGCCATCACGAAATGCTGGCCAACTCGTGGCGATGACTTTCAATCAGGTGGTTCACTGGCAGGTACGCGCCCTGACCTGCCAAATACTTGATGGCGCTGGAACCGTATTTGTTCATCATGAATCGAACAATTCAAGGAAATACATCGCTACCGGAAGGTGCACCAAAAGTCCGGATAATGTGCGACCAACCGGCGGGAAGATCTTTGGGATGAAGGACGAGGCTGACGAGCGGACGACGTTCCTGTGGAACGCCGTGCATGTGCTTGAGCGGAGCGTGAGGGTACTGGAGGACCAGATCCATCAGATGATTACGTTTCGGGAGCAGCGGGATGTTCATGTAGCCAAAGTGGCCAAAGCCCTCGAAGAATGCGCTGCTCAAGAGAACGTGACGTCTTTGCAGCGGGCGTTTTCGACATACGCCGAAGCGACGCAGACTCTGAGCACCGACACGCGCGAACTGTTGGTAGTTCGGCCTGAGCAGCAAGCAATGGTAGAGTTAGCACAGATTCAAGACTGGGCAATCGTTCCCATGAAGCGATTATTGGAGGACCGCGATAAAGCAATCAAGACACTCAAGAAGCTTCAAAAAGACGTCGAGGACATTCTCCAGACGAACAAGGAACGAGAAAAGCGGCAACGCCTCGTGCAGGACCAGAAACGTCGCGTTGAGAATGTGAATTCGCTCGTGGACTTGCACATGAAGCGCTTCGAGTACTTCCGCGTGGCGAAGCTAAAGGTGACGTGCACACTGCAGCATGTTCTATTTTACCTCACACACGTATAGAAGGTCATGTCAGAGCTAGCGAGGGCTCAGCTGTACTACCACTGCAGGGGTGTCGAGTACTTCTCCGCCCCCTGTCGGATGGTGCCGTTGGTGGACCCGACAGCGGCGTCTGAGGTAGGTTGCCGCAAGTACTCGAATCGTTTCTTCACGACGGTATGCTTAGGACATCGGGTTGAGCTTGTTCCGTTGCCAGCAACTCAAGCCTTGACCACCTGACGATGAACGTGCTTTTGATGTCGTAACGAGTCGAATACATCCTGTCCCACCACTGCTGTTGCTCGAGTCATCCAACGATACCTCGGCACAGCACTGAAATAGCGCTTCTGAAGCGCATGGCAGTCCATCTAGACCGTGGCAGCTCCCACAAGATCGTCTACAGACATGGTGGGGTTGGTCGGATCGACCGCAGTGCGACTTGGTTTGGTCAGAGAACTCGAGGTGTACCAGGTCGGCGAGTGACTTTACGTAACGAGGAACTGTTCGTTGTGCACGTCCCTTTGGATCCGTTCCGGCCAAGTAGTTTTTCGGGGTCACGATCGGCATGGAAGGGATCCAAATGGGATGTCCAGGGACATGAAGCATTGGAGAATGCGAATGCAGTTGGCTGATCATGCCACAACATGGGCGTAAGCTTTGTCAGGATTGTTCAGAAGTCTGAAGAATGCCAGGAAGTGATGCGTTTACTTGGATGAAAAAACACTCCATCGTCGAAGAAGACCCAGAACGACCTCGATTGTGTTCCTCGAATGGACCCAAGAAAAGTTGGAGCGTTGAGGTCACGTGGTGGCAGCAACGCAACTGTTGCCTCATCTACTGCTCAAAGTACTTTTTGCGAGGTACTTCCTTGACCACGACGGGAATTTCGTTGACTTTTTTGGCCTTGAGGGCTTCGAGCGCTTCTTTGTTTGTGTACTGGTGGAGGCATTCGTTCAAGGCGTGGTTCTGCTCACGACATTTGAACACGACCATCAACCTGCGAATACACCAGGTCAACGTCACCGTTGCATCCATGTAGGAAAAGGACGCACCCATGTTCTTTAGAGCATTCGTGGAATGCAGAAGTAAGGTGGTGGCATTTTGCGAGGGCGGTGGCGTTCAGCTCTTGCTTGAGTTTCTACGCACGCCACGAGATCAACGGGGATGGGTAGAAGGCTGCAACGCATACATGCTCAGCTTGGTTCGACCACTGCAGTCGGCCAGACCGCCATTCGGTCTTGGCTTCATCAACCGTTGGACAATTGGATTTCACGGCGTCGCCGGAGACAGAGCTCATCTGCACACCGCGGCGGATGGATGTTCAATGGCTTGGACTTCGCCGGATAAAAGTTTATCCGGTTCCTCGCCAGAACAAAACCATCGCAGGCACATGACGACGGACTCCTTCCTGGCGTACCTGCGCGAGATCAAGCAAAGCGAGCTGTGGTGGGAGAGAGAGATCATGGAAGATCGGACAACTTCATGCGTGACGCTGGGAGCATCCATTGATCGCACGCCCTTCGAGTTCTACGGCACACGAAACGTACTCATGTCCACCATCGTTCTCTGAATGTTACATGCAGCAAACGCTGGGACGGAGATGGCGAGATTGCAGTCCAAAGGGCTCAAAGACGCATTGTTTGTAGGCGAATGTCTGCGGCAGCATGCGGCCCAGGACCCATTGGATTGTAGCCCATTTAGTGCTGTCCTCGATACACGACGTACGAGGGTAAAACGAGCAGAGCCATGCAGTGGATCGTTGGGTTTTCGATTCATTCCAACCGTAATCCCCCGCAAACCCAACACATGCTGCCGAAGGACACTTGTAGCCAGGACGCCACGCACGTCATGATTTCAAAATTTCACCTCTGGGTGCGACATGCTTCTGTTCAAAAATCAGCCAGCGTGGTCATGTGGCTCAGTCACGAAAGAGCATCCGCATCCATCATGGATACCTTCGCCAATTCTCGTCTGGTGGGTGGAGGCCACCAAGTCAAGAGGTCGCAGAGAGAGCGGGGATAACTAAATAGCCTGGATCACAGTTAAGTGCATACAGTTTGGAGACGCTCATAGAGCGGCAGGATCTGGCCCTGAATCTTTTTCTCAAGCAGCTCCAGTCCCCCGGACGGCAGGTCGACTTGCGGGCGGTTGAGGAAAGCCGCGATCTTCTGTAATTTGTCCAGGATTTGCGCCGCAACTGCATCGTGCAAACTCAGCGGTTGTAAGAACTCTTGGGCGCGACCGATGGTGAATCCGTACTTGGACTTGATGTATCGGTGCTGAAGCTCGGTGAGGCGAAGTTTATCGTGTGAGATCTCAACTGTAATCATTGCGGTGCGGCGCGTATCGTCGTGGATCGACGCGGTTTCAGGAATCACGGCCAAGTTTGACTTGGATAGTTCACGAAGCTGCCGCGGCGACACTGGGATGTGCGCCGTGATGTGCATCTGCCGAAGGAATTTGCGGAGGAGGAGCACGTAGTGATGCTGCACAGATGCCATCAATACATGAAAGTGACACGGTGAACGACATACCAAAGTTCGAGCCTTTTGCCACAACGACCATTCTGCAGCAACGCTCCACGACGTGATGGCGGCCATGGAGGGAGATTCACACCTCAACGACGACGGCGGTATGTGCAAGGCTCTGGAGGGGGACAGTGAGGTATTGCAGCGCGGTTGACTACGTACATGTGGCAAGCCATGTCATGGCGAAACTGGCAGATGCGGGCATGGCGATCGGCGGGCGCGTGCTCCATGGCGGTATTGCGATGGCGGAAAATGGTAAACTGCCGGCACCGCGAAAGAGCGTTGGACTTGCAACCGTCGACGCGTTCGCAGGGAGCTAATACTACTATTAGTACTATGCTGGCGCATGTTGTGCAAGGTATAGTGGACGTTTCCAAAACATTTCCTGAGGTGTTTTTATGTGACATCTATGCACGTATGGGGGCACTTCCGT